CGCGGGTTTAAAGCTATCTGTACTTATAATCTGTATTTTGCTTTATAGTACAGATTTTTTTACAACTTGCCTTTCCGCCCCGGCTATCCACTAAAAGTAAATTTTGGTTATAGTATGTTTGGTTATATATAAGTAAGAAAAAATTAAGTAACATCTTATAAATGTCCCAATGCTGAGAAAATACCTCCTCTACAGTACTGACGATATCTGGGCATAGCCCACCACGTGGCACCACTGCGGATTGGTGGACTTCACATGAATCTTCGAAATTTTTTTTTTAATGTTTCGAAAATACCCAGGTTTTCTCAAGACGTTTATTACATCACCGCTCTTGATAATTCAATGGAATTAAAAGTGAGCACTCAAACAATGAGTTATCAAGGCTCAGTAATAATATTTTAATAGTTAATATTAATTAATAGTTTAAATAATTAAGAATAAATATAATTATAATTGATATTTAATATACTCAACGGACAGCGTAATATTATGCATTGGCCTTCAGATATGGTTTTTTATAACTGAAAATATTAGCATGCATAAAAACAATGCCTACTTAAAGAACACGGCGTAATCAAGTTTTAGTCACGGTGATAAACACTAATTTTCTGTTATGAATAAGTCAGACTATGCCAAAAACAACATAATTATTTAGAATAAAATTACAAGTATAAGGAATTATTGGTGTTGTTACGAATCTAGAATGGGACCAGCTTAGAGTACTGTAAAGGAAACTGTGAAAGAATCGTTGAATTTTGTATGAAATAGCTGATGTACGAGTCACCAATGCTTATGATAGGTGATATTTCGTTCCATATCAAAGTTTCACTGCAATATAAAATATGTACACGCTATTTTTACATTTATTTAAAACTCATGTTTTTATGAACATTTCTGCTTTTGCAATCGTAACTGATTCATATCCAGCTTCAGTGAATGTATGTATATACGTCATATGGTTGGGGCATACGTTGAATAGTCGGGCACTCTGACCTTCCATAATATATAATAATAATAATAAATCTCACTTTTCCTCCTACGTCCAAAAGAAGGATAATCAAGTTGGATTTAATGCAACCATCATGATACAAACGAGGGACATACTAGCGACGATCACATTCAAGGAAGATGAGATCAAGAAAAAACGAAAAGGTGAATACAGCAAAGAGCATGCACCTCATTTTTCTAGCCACATGTACAGATGAACTGGCTATTCCATGGACTATTATTTTAACCGTTCTTCGGAGACAGGCACATTTCCCCTTAAATGGAAAGAAGCCAACATAATTCCCATATTCTAGGGTGGTAAGAGAAGCATGTTAACCAACTACAGGCCTCAGAGTTATTTGAGACCATGGTGTATTAAGTAATGGCTAACCGCATACAAAGCTACATATCGACTCAATAGCATGGATTTCTACCAAAAAGACCGCCATTTAAAAGTCGTGATCGATGGAAAGCAATCAAATTCTTTTACAGCATTCTCAGATATTCCCCAGGGCTTAATTTAAGAACCATTGTTTTTTAACATATTTATAATTGACATTGTTAGTGTCATAACAAAGCTTACCTCTTCGCTGATGATCTTAAGTTACTGAGCAATATTACATGTGCCTCGGACGCTATGCATCTGCAAGATGACCTAGACAACATACAAGACTGGTGTATAGTCAATAAAATGGCATTAAATTTACCAGGAAGCGTTACATTTGAAACTGAATACGTTATACGCGGCAATAAACTACAGGAAGTCCCTACTATCACAGATCTCGGCGTCTTGATGGACAGCGAGCTTAGATTTACAGCCCATGTTAATAAAATCATAACCGAAGCGAAGAAATTTATTGTATGGTTGTTATGTCAGAAGCAAACTGGACTATTGCAGTACAGTATGGTATCCAACTTACAAAGTGCATACAAAAAGAATAGAAAAGATACAAAAAAACTCGTTCGTACTTTGACGTATCATTACCCTACTTCTCAGTCTGTGAAAATTATTATCATAAATTGAATCAGTTTCGACTTCAATAGCTATCTTCCCGACGAACTCAATCTGACCTTATGTACCTCTTAGAATAGTGTAGAACTAATTTAGGCTGCGATTCAACGGTAGGGTGCTTGAGAAGGCCGCGATAATGTGCCAGAAATAGACTGAAGATGAATAATGGTGGATACACCACCATGATCTTACAAAATTTAAGACATTAAGAAAAAACTTGACATGAGCCTTAACTTGTTGTTGTGTAGTATATATATATATATATATATATATATATATATATATATATACTACAGAACATAAATTGTGTTAACATAAACGCATACCATATATATATATATATATATATAGTATCGAGGAGCACCGATTTCTGCATTTGCAGAAACGACTATTGGGATAATTTCGGTCGACACACCACCCCACATGTCGGTCACCTCGACTGGGTTCCCGCCTTGACGTGGCGGAGGGGCTTAGTGGCCGCGGCTTGGTCACCCACAGCGAAGCTAAGAGGAACCCACACTGGGCCGGCCTGTGGTGTAAGGCCGGCCCGGGGGCCGCTCCGAGTGGGCTCATGCCTACGCATACCCACTCTCGCCCCCGCGAGGATGGGTATACGTAGGCATTTCTCCTACGTAAACTAAAATAAAGAACTTGATCGAAAATACATTATACTCAACGTCAGAGACACTGACAAATAAATACATGTTGTTACCAATTACAAACTCTTCTGATGGCTAAATATAAAAATCACAACTATGGCTATATCTGACTATTGCAATGACTATTGCTGGCTATTGTTGGCTAGTGGGAGCGACTCTCAAGGCTGCGGCGATGCCGTGCAACGTTATAACCATACCCTTGGGAGCTGTGACTTATAACGCGCTCTGCGACGTAATGCCGTGCTAACCTTGGAATCGGTGGTGATGCCAAAATACTAACAATATCTTCAGTTGCAGCAATCTGACAATAGTGGTGGCGCTTACGGAAGGCTTATTATATTAAAGGGAGCCGGAGTGCCTGAATAACAAAGCAGCAACCGTATTGACGTACATTCACGAATACTAGATTTCTCAACGGCTTGTATAACGTTTACACACGCATTGACATGCGCAACTTCAGTAAAAGTTTGTGCTAACGAACTGCCAAGGGGCTAAGCCCTCTTTATGCTGGTAAAACAGCTTTGCAATAGTAAGGACCGACCCTTACCCCAACTTCTTGTCCCTCTTCCGGGGGGCGCAAGTATTGGTTGTCGCTCACGGCGCACACGGCGTTGGTGAGTGGTTTCATGGAGCCGTGTGCCTTCCCCACATTTTTTTTATTACTGTTATAAACTGTGGGGAGCTGTTAACTTGGATCGGGTATGTAAATTAGGTGTGAGCCTTTTCATTGGCCATGAAATATGCGCCCGGGTTTCCACCCGGGCGCATATTTCATGGCCATTGTGGGAGTTGTAGTCAGTGCGAGTCCGACATAAACCACCCTTGCCCCCACGAGGGCGGGAATACGTAGGCATTTCCAGGTTTTTATGGGTGTATTTCCAAGTAAAAAAAATTAAGGCCTTACCGGGGAAGTACCACTGCCTCACGGAAGACCAGTGTAAAGTGGAATAATACTTTCGCATTTCTTTCACTGAATAAGATAACCGGAGTCCACTTAATTTAACGGTTGTTCTCCAAGCACTCAGGTGTTGTAGATGTCCATGGGCTAAAGTGATATTTTTTTTTTTATTTTAATATCTCTCAAAAGATTAATAGGCTATGGACATTAAGCAATTTTAGCAAGCCGAAAGTTCGTTACCATTATTTTTTGTCCTTAGCAAATTAAAATGAAGGCTTCTTTTACGGCACAAAAACTAAAAAGCTATAAAAAACGTTCCGCCTTGGGTTCCGTTTTGTATACATCAATAAAGAAAATACTTGAAATATTACTCCTTATTACATCTGCTATCTGCCAGTAAAAGTCCAGTCAAAATCGGTCCAGCCATTACAGAGATCAGCTGGAACAAACAGACAGACAGACAACAAATGGAAAAATGTTATTTTGGTATATGTACCGTGTAAACATACATATCCATTTAGTAAGTAGCGGTTATTTGAATCTTACAAACAGACACTCCAATTTTATTTATCTGTATAGACTAGCTGTGCCCGCGACTTCGTCCGCATGGAATTTAATATAAAAAAAATCTTAAAATAAAAGTATCCTATTACTTTATTACATCAGCTATCGATCAGTGAAGGTCCCGTCCAAAATGGTCCAGCCGTTTCAGAGATTAACCGAAGCAAACAGGCAGACATACAGAAAATGTAAAAAATGTTATTTTGGTATATGTACCGTGTATACATCCATATGCATTTAGGTAAAAGCGGTTATTCTAATATTACGAACAGACACTCCAATTTTATTTATCTGTATAGATACTCCTCCTCGCAAGACATAAACAAGCAGGCAATATCTAATTGAAGAATGATTATAAAAACTCGACGTATTAGACTAGTTTATCGGTGGTACAGCCACGCAGCAGCTTCAGTTGTTGCACGAATGGACAGGCTCGTCCGGGTAAGTACCTTACAGAAGACTGGTGTAAAGTGGAAGTATGACAAATACTTTCACGTTTCATCTGGTGAGTGAGGTAGCCGGAGCCTAATTTCCAAAAAGGTGGTCAACGCATCTGCAAACCATCGGGTGTAGCAGATGTCCATGGGCGGCGGTATTCACTTAACATCAGGTGAACCGCCTGCTTGTTTGACTTTTCACATAAAAAAAACGTAAAAAAGACAAAGCAAAGAAAACTAAACTAATAGAAATAAAATAACTCGTACTCTACCCATTTCGTATACATCTTCTTTTATTGGACTATATTCAAATCTGGTTTCGTACAAAAAAATGCCTCCGGTGTGATGCGGGTTGTTAATAACTATATAATCCACCGAATTTATACAAATTATATCAGTATTCATTAATTCCTAGTGCCTTGAACATCCAATTCAATTTTATTAAAATGACTTACCGGATTCTTTTTCTGATATCATATTTTTTAATAGAATCTAACGGTGCACTAGGTAAGCTTCTTTTAAATATTCATAGCGTTTATATTAGGAAATAGTATAGTTTCAAATTTATATACCTATAAATTACAATTATACTTACAGTAACGTCTTGCACTTACAACTAAACTTTTTCTACATGTTTTAACTAAAAATTGATTTTAATATCTAGAGAAAAATATGATAAATAATCTAATTTTCCTTATTTCCAGCTCCATTCATTAAAAAATGTAAAAGTGATGATAGTGAATGTCTAATAGCAAGTACTCAGATCGCAATCCCGTATCTGTCACCTGGTATACCCGAGCTTGAAATTCCACCCGCAGACCCATTATATTTCAAGGAAATTAGCGCTGACCAAGGTGACCTCAAATTGACCTTCAGAGACTTGAAAGTTACCGGCACTAGCAAATGCAAAGTGATCGATGTGAAGTAAGTTGCAGTTTTTAATATTTACCAAATTTATTATGAAATTATTTCAGTTTGTTGATATTTATTCAAAGTTTCATTACACACTTCCTTAAGTATTACAGTTTTGGGAAGTTTGTGCACCAGTCATGGATTGGAATATGTCATGCTTTTTGAAATATGATCATTGGGTTGGGTTAGGTTATTCTTTGGGCAGTATTAGTTTTGTGAAAATAGGACATATTTTTATCAGACTAATAATTATCAACCTATAACTAGTCATTAGTCAAAACCAATGATTGACCGGTAGATTGGTGACTTACTTTTTCAATAACTTATCTGTTACTTCAGTTCGGTTTAGTTATTCAGTTATGGTAGTTTGTTGAAGCAAGGTAAGCTAATGTTACTAGGAGGTTCAAAATGATAATGATTGTTAATGTAAATGTTATATTGGCAGACTTTTTATCTAGGCAGTAAGTCTGTCATTCTTAATTTTCCTGAAGGCTAATAGATAAATAAAATAGCTTTGTTTCATTTCATTTTAATTCATATTCTAAAAATTCTGCCCGGACATATACAATATTTGCGTGATGTCTGGCCCATCCTAAATACCAAACAATTGTCATGGTACGTTACTTGGTTACTTAATATCTACAATATGATTCTCTATAGACAGAATATTATAAGGCCAACTTGGCCAAACCCGGTCAACTAACTTCTGGAAATAAGGTTTACTAACACATTTGTTGCATTTGATATACAGAATTCGTGTCGATATTTTTAACAATAGTAAACAAACTAATAACTAGTCTAAATATTCAAGCACATCCAATAGTCCAACATAACAGCGTGCAAATGGGTTAAAACGTTTAAACTTAGCAACGCAAAGTCTGACTCCGATATGCATTATGAGTAGTATAAAAATTAAAAAATCGCATTTATATTCTAATATATAAAATTCTCGTGTCACGGTGTTTGTAATTGAACTTGTCCGAAACGGCTCGGCCAATTTTCGTGAAATTGTGCATATAGGCCAGGGTGGAGAATCGGACACAATTTATTTTTCATTGCCCTGAATGTTAAGGGTGGTCCACAAAATTTTTTTCTACCCTACAGAAAATTATATGGCAAAACAACGTTTGCCGGGTCAGCTTGTATTCTTATAATTACACAAAGCAAAAAAGCAGTGAATATTGATTATTGAATAATAAAAGACAGATTGGTGCAAATTAACATGTCATTAAAAATTATAGTACACTTTATAATTTTGATTTTTATATGAATTAATTTTCTCTTTGTAAATATTAGATTAATAAAGATTTATAGATGATAAAAATAATTACTTCTCTTCCAAGTTTATCAATTCTTCAACATTAGTTTCAACCTTAGCTTTTAATTTTTTATCATATCCTCAGTAGGAATAAATTCAGTACAAATTCCTTTGATAGCCTCACAACACAATAAAAATGACATCTTCCGGCATGTTATTCTCTTTTAGCTTCCTTGTTATAATTTAGATGCAGTCTTTTAATAGCAAGCATGTAAATAAATTAGCTCCCTCTGCATAGATCGGACACAAAATTAATAATTCAAAAACTGACGGTAGCCCGGGTTAACTATGACAATCTCCTCAGTCTGTCCTGTGACCATAAACGCTGTAAAGGGTTCGAAACGTCGGGAATTAAAATTAAAGATAAACGCGATAAATCCGTAAAATTAGTTTCATTTAGAGTCAATTGAGTTGTTCATAAACACTTATTTATATTCGATCTTTAACATTTAAAGTTAATGTGCCGAAAAATCATGGAAAATACTTATATTTTGAAACCTAAATATCAATTTTTTAAACGCCTAATGTTTCTTTAAATAAGATTTCGCCATTGTCCTTTACATTATTCAATAGTTTTCGTAAATAAATATTGCAGGTGAAGCAAGATAAACCTTATTATAATTATTAAAATTTAAGTATTTATATTACTTTTTAATTTTTTAAATACAATACGGTTAGATTAACCAGATATAAATTTAGAAGCGAGCACTATACGTCTTAATAATGCTTATTGAAAGCCTCTTTCTATATTTAGGAGAGACACAGTGGCATCAACAATTTCATTGGAAGTAGAATGCCCTATTCTAGCTACTGGAACTTATTTACTAGATGGAAAACTGTTGTTCATCCCAGCACAAGGGAACGGTGACTTTGAAATCAAAACAGGTATATAAGACTTTTCACAACATTAAATAACTTTAAATATTCCGTTTTAATATTAGCCTATTGGAATTTTATATAAGTATTAGCATTCTGCACTCCATCTCTATATATAATATAACTGTGAGAAATTTCATACTCCTCTGTCCGCGCACTTTTCGTAAAAAGGGGTACAAAGTTTTTGCTTTACATATGTTTTTTTTTTTATGTGAAAAGTTGCCAAGCGAGCGGACGGTTCACCTAGTTTTAAGGGAATACCACCGCCAATGGACATCTTCTACACCTAAGGGTTCCAGATGCATTGACAGCCTTTTGAAAATTGGGCTCCAGCTACCTCACCAGACGAAACGCGAAAGTATTATACTTTCACTTTACGCCGGTCTTCTGTGAGGTTGTGGTACTTACCCGGACGAGCCTGCCCTTTTGTGCAACAGCCGAAGCTGTTGCGTGGCCTTACCACCTATATCGTGGCCCTACCAACGATATAGATTATACATTATTTTAAAGATACATAGATTTCATAATTCAATTTTTTAGAATTTTTAAACTATATTTTTAGAGCTCTGCACTAAATAAATGCTACATCTTTGTGTTTATTTTGGTGTAAATATAATTATATATCTCTAATAAGTGATATTTGTTTTAATTTCAGAAAATGTTAAACTCAAAGCACTTTTGAAGTACAAGACTATCACAGCTAACGACGGCGCTAAACACTGGAAGATTACCGGCTACGACTATTCATATGACCTTGTTGAAAGAGTCTCGATAAAATTGGACAATCTTTTCGGTGGAGACGAGACTAGAGGTAAACGAGTTTTGTCTAACCTTCAACCAAGGTCATACCGTAAATTAAGAGCGTTTCATTACAATAACATATTTTCAACTGTAAGCTTACACGTAAAATTGAAAAAAGGTTATTCTATCAGGGCAATATGAAATTACTTTAACGTTGCCTTGGTGGACCTATTGTCTTAACACTATTTCTACAGTAGTGCTTAGCACTGTTATGTACAGATTTTTACAGACTAAGTTTTAACAGTTTTAAGAATAATTGATTACTTAGTTTCATTAATATTGCATATAAATTTTAACCTCCATTTAAATTTTAATTATAATAATGATTTCATAGGACGATTAATATCATAGAGTAACACAGCAGGTTATGCCACGGAGGTGTTTTATCAGGGAACTTTTCATGTCCTTATATTGTATTATAGTTATGTACTGTATTCTCGTATAGTACTTACTTTTACATTTGTATGATTATGTTGTGTATGATTATTCATAGTCAGAGCCCACATCCTTAATGTTTAGTAATGTAATTGTTTTACTCCGAGTGGTGTTGCAGTTTACATGTGGGACGGAAATCACTTGACATTTGTTACTCGTTTAAAACATACTCCAATGAATATATTTTATTTTAAAGATAAATATAAGAATAAAAGTAAATTGACAGTTTAGTAAAGAAGGCAGATTAAAGTTATTATTTAGACTCGAGATCATAAAAATGACATTTGGAACTCAATGGATTTCTCTTTCTTACATCTAAATGTTAAATAACTGTAAGATGTTCTCTATAGAAAAATTAAACAAAATAGGCTAACACCAATTAATTACACCTTACAGTTTAGAATAACTTCAGTTATATTCTAACAAGTTACGTAAGGTCTGAAACTAATAAATTTAGATAAAACAAAGATTTTAATACAAAGGAATCTGAGAATTTAATTTTAAGTATCTTTTGTCAGATAAATTTACAAAAAAGGAAAAATCGATCGAAGAAGCGAAAATGCGATCATTGACTATTGCGGGATGGAACGAGAACACAGTAGGCACAGGTGGTTAGGTAGGGTTTAGTCCTTTCGGCATCAATAATAATAAATTATGAGTTTAAGTAAGTACGAAGCCGTGAGCTAAGTACTGAAACTTACCAATGGCTATTGCTGTCCCGCTAAGGTTTATAGGAAATTATACTAATATAAATAAAGCAAAAATAAATAATATTTTAAGCTTTCAAACAATAATGATATGATAAATAAAATTGCAAATGAGTATATTGCTTAGCTCAGAATTAGTTTTTTGAAATTATACTCTTTTAAGCCAGTTAGGAAAAATACGATGATGGGGAATTTTTACGTTCCGTGGAATTACACATAAAAGTAACGGCATGAAGTAAGTCGTACGTAATATGCCTTGAATAATATGTCAAAAATCAATAATGTGTCAAAACCACAAAATACTATTTAGTGTAACACGGTTCAATTTATTTTGCGTAAGTAATTTATCATTCACTAATCAAATAAATATTGTTATTTTTAAAATAATAATGTTCTGATCGAAAGATGATGTAATGATATTTGTATTTTGTTCCCGTAGTTTCCTCAAATCTCTCTAGTAATAAATTGACAATAAATTAATAACCTACGAAATAGCAAATGAAAAAATCATGTTTTCATAAATTAAAAGTGGTTAAATAACAAAATAACGGATGAAAAGTGATCGTGGTGTTATTATACGATTTTCCCATAGAATTGCAACACAATTGGACAGCTCCAACCGACATAATTAAATTTTTTTCGTGGACACGTTAGTCCTAAGTGATTCAAATGACAGAGACATAGTTAAAAAACGTGTCTACCAATTTTAATAGACTATATTTGCGCCGTTTGATAAGGTTAAATGTGTCACCTAGACAAGTAAATAATGATGGTTAGAAAGATTTAAAAAAATTACTCACCATCTTTGAAATCCATCGTCAAGCCAATCGTGATAGTAAATAAAATGTGTAAATGCAGTAGAGTAGATATTTTCAAGGCGATAGTAACCGAGTAAAAAGTTCTGCTAGTGTTGAGTAAAGGCAAGCAATCTAGGGCCTAACGCATTACCTATATTATAATACCTATGTTTCCAGCGTGTTACCATTAAGAGTGTGGGTTTCTAGCCACCACACCCACCAAACGAAGCTTAAAAATGTAAACACTTACTTCACGGAGGTATTTGCGGACCATGGTACCTCCATAATCAATCAGGCCCATTCGTGAAGCATGTTTATTAATGTCCCACCAAATAATATAAGATCCCTGGTTTTCTTGTATCTTGTATCTTGTATTAACTGATGTTTTTGCTTTCAGTCCCGAGACTATTAAAGCTTCATCTGACGCAGAACCGGTGGGCTAGCCAGAACCCACGGGTTTGGGGCCCTGGTTTTATGAAATGGAATGCTTCTTTAAAAACTTTTTACTTTACCGGAGACTTGATATTATACATTCGAAGTCTCCGGATTCAATGATAAATTATTTTTACCACTATTAGTTAGCGACGCTAGCCAGGTGCAAATTAGTTTTAGTAACAAATATTTTAATTTTAAATGACTGTCCCTAATTTTTTTCCCTAAGATATTACACACCACCTTCCAAATAATGGCTTTTTTAAATAGTTACATTTGGAATGGACAATAATACAAGTATTACATTAAGACTATAGATAATACAGATTTAAAATACGCTTTCCAGAACTGTTTCTTCATACTTTTTGCAATAATCATAGTAATATATTGTATTACTTTTTACAGCTAAGCCGATTCTTGAGATTTTGAACAACAGTTGGAAGGAGTTAATCACAGAAATTGGGGCACCGATCATAAAAGAGCTATTTGCTAAATGCATATCTATAATCAATAAATTCACGACTGCTGTACCAACAACGGAACTTGAATTATAACTTATTTCAAGTGAGCAATAAAACTGATAATGTTTTGGCCAAGTATTAAATATTGAAACATTAAGGGAGCACTTAAGGGCTCTTCTCAAGCGATCTAGAGAACTGTTATTTTTGTAATTTGGTGTGGATTAGTTAAAAAAATATTATTATAAGAATATAAAACAATATTAATAAATGATTTTTTTGTATTTCATAAATGGAATTTTATTTGGAGGATTTCCAAGATATGATTATATTTGATCTAATTTTCTCTTACTTATGTGACATAAAATACAGTGAGAAAAAAATCGTCACGAGTCATGCATGAGGTATAATGTCTTAAAAAAATAACTGAGCCCTGAATTACAATTTTTATTTGACTTATTAAAGCTGATGTATTGGTTTCTCAATACTGTAAATAATTAATGGTATATTTTCGAGGAAGACCCAAGAGCATTTTGTTATTGCATAATGGAAAATTCAATATGGATATCGAAAATATATCGCATGTTGAAGGAACACTATGGAATCATGTTATTCCACACACGTTTTTTATTGGGGAACATTTTAGTACTATCCTCCTACTGTAGGTAATTTGGTGTTAAATACTATCCACAAAATACTGTTTATGTTTTTTTCTCATGAGAATGTTTACTATAATGAATGTAAGATTAAAAATGTATTTAAGTTGTAATAAAATAACAATAATGACGTTAATAAATTAGTTATTGGTCGCAAAATCTGAGGCAACATCGAGTGCATTAAGGCTCGGTACACTTCGATACCTCCTTAACCTTCGACTGATGTACATACACTTCCCTGGTGAGGGTCTCCGTCTAGCTTGCTGGAGATATCTATGAAACTGATGATCTAATATTAAAATTCTAGTGTCACGGTGTTTGTAATTGTATTCCTCCGAAACGGCTCGACCGATTTTCGTGAAATTTTGTGCGCATATCGGCCAGAGAATCGGACATCTATTTTTCATCCCCCTAAATGTTAAGGTTGGTCCACCCAAGTTCCTTAGAAATAATTTATACGACAAGACAACGTTTACCGGGTCAGCTAGTATTTTTATAAAAACATTTCTTGGATATATGAATAGGTTGTAACATATATTTCATACCATTATGTCATTTAGGTGTCCCTCAGATTTGGCAGGTAAAATACTTGTAACCTCTAATTTTAACCCTCCTACCTCCCCAATTTCCCATTTTTAGTCTTTTTTTTTCTATGTGATAAATTGCCAAGCGAGCAGAAGGTTCACCTGATGTTAAGCGAATACCGCCGCCTATGGACATCTGTTACACCTCCAGATGTGTTGACTACCTTTTGAAAATTGGGTTCCGGCCACCTCACTCACCAGACGAAAGGCGAAAATTATACTTCCACTTTAGGCCGGTCTTCTGTGAGGTCGTGGTACTTAACCGGACGAGTCTGCCTATTCGTGCAACAGCCGAGGCTGCTGGGTGGCCCTACCACCGTGAAGTCGACCATTTTTAGTCTTTTTTTCAGTATTTTTGTAAGAAAAAAACAATTTATTTTATTATCTTCGGCGTCACACCAAAGAAATCCGATGATTGCCGAAAGAATTGTATTCAAATAATTTAATCGTATCTCAATCAGAAGGAAATTAATTATGTTCTTGTATAAGACATGGGGCTACGTCCGTCTCATCGGACGTAGCCCCATATTCATTAAACAAGCGTATGCGCAAGTCAGCGAAGAGTCAATGCAACAAATATGCGAACTAACATGCAACAGACGACTTATCCAACAAGATAGCGAAAATGTGCGTATGAGCATGTCACAAATGCGTGCATCTAAAATAAAAGAGGCACTACCTGAACGAAATCAACAACGAAAGTTGGACAGACAACCCGGCCGGTTCGTAGTTAACACATGCACAGCAAATGACCGCCAATGCAATAATACCATCAGGCATTCCTTCATTCGTCTCGGATATGAGTATGAGCCAGCTATTGAATATTCCGGTTTTCCGAAATTTGGTGCTATGGAAAAAATATAATGAACCATTTTCATGCACTCAAATTCAAACATGGGTCACTCGGGATGTGTTGCGCATAAGGAACAGTGCATCTTTCTGAAATTGAAACACAACCAGAACCATTGAACGGCTTTCACATCGGCACGGATCTAGTTTCAAACCGGCGCCTTCTTTAATTATATAATAATATAGGGGTGCGGATGCAGCCTCACACGCATATACAAATATTCCCCGCCCTTGTTCTAAGTTTATTACGTTGCACAAACATAAACTACTAAAAGAACTTTTTGTAATCGACCTTAGGACAACTCTGTTTTGGAAACGTTCGTTTTTCCTGTGGCCATTGTTTCCTGTTAGCCGCTAACATGTCATCTTCATTGTACGAATACTGTGGACACCGAACTCCTCTCGTTAATGTGACATGCTCTGGAGAAGAAAGTATAAATATCGCTACTGCTGAACAAACTTGACTTAATACCCCTTTTTATTACTTTAACGTAACTCTCAGCTTATCCGTTACTTGCCGGGTGATAAGCAGTGGACGTAGCATATGCAAAATTTAAGAATAAAGAGGAATACGGTGTCCCATAATCACTATTGTTTCTAGCAACACGAATCAGGCCATGTATTCATAAATTTCAACAAAAAAAGAAAATTAAAACATGTAGAAAAAGTACGAAAAGATTGTCGCCGCTGTGGGAATCGAACCCACGTCTTCGGCATTCGCGGCCTGACGCTCTTTTCTACATGTTTTAATGTTCAAATCTTAAGTGCAGAGATTAGCACTATAAAAAACTTTAAAATTTGTAAAAAGCAATGGCAACATCTCTCGTTCGAATTATCGTTGTAAAATGATATTCGAAATTGTTTGTATGCTGGAAAGGATATAACAATAGATGCGCCAAGCATTGCTTCAAATGCTAAATAACAATGTAGAAAGGCGTTAAGATTTTAATCGCTGTGGCTATCAGCCGTTTAGCTCAGTGGCTAATCACATACTTCAGCCCATTTGGAGAACACATCTACGATCACTAAGAACACATATTCTTTCATTGAGCCGAGGAAATCAAGATTTACTCATTGCTTTCAATGAGTACACCTTGATTTCCTCGGGTCATTGTACTTCCACAGGAAAATAATAGCACGTGGTGCGGCGATGCTCGAAGTTGCATACATGTTGCTTACACAGGAACCAATCATGCATTCAAGGATACGGTCAATACCTGGAGACCAAAACTGTGCGTATGCTTCAGCCTTAGTAAAGCTAAAGTGCGATCTATGTAACTCCTATATCACTATTCCGTAACTCTTCAGGGTGAAAAATTTTATGATCACGCAATAAGGCAACCATTTTCATATTAAAGTTCCCACTTGCACAAACTATAAGGTTTGATGACCCCAGGGTCACTAATCTTTTTAGGGCCATCTGCTTAAAACGTTATGTACAACTTTTTTTATACCACATTTGTAAGTTACGTCGCTGTACAGTGGCAAAGCGCTATTAACAACGTATCTCTGTAATTTATTTACCGAAATCTCTGAAACTCCCTTCCCGTAAATCGTTAATAATGGTTTGTAATCCGTACTTAGTATAAAAGATGTAAACTTGATGGAAAATTTGATTTGAAATTGAATTTGAAAAATTGTTGGAACCTCCAAACTCCAAATATAATAGCCGTTTCTTCGTTTTGTATTTTAGAATCGTTTTTTTTGGCGTTATTTTATGTCCGTGATGCAAACGTAATCGTGCTTTCAATACTTGCACCATGATAAAATCTCACCTAACCCGCCTCCACCTTGAGTATAATTGTATCATTTGGATTGCCATGTGCTAAGACCTGCTCAAACGATAATAATTTTGAAGTGAAAAATTATTGAGGCGCTTTGAGCACTTCTTTGGTGAACAAAAAATATTGAACTCGTGCCATCGTCACCAAAATTATGTATGCATGTGTATACTATGTATACAGGGTGGAATGCCACTTAAAGGGAAAGCATTTTTAATACTGAAGATAGAAGATTTAACTCAAAGAAAACATTTATTTATTTTTGAATAGAAAGAAAACTGCATTGCAACTGCAAAGATTTTCAAAAACTCGCTTGCCACACTCGGGTATCGAACCAACTAAAATCTGTAAAAATTGATATTTTAAATTATTTACAAAACGTAATAAACTAATTAGTTGCTCGAAATGGGCTCTATTTTCTTAGATACACAAATGTATTCTTCTAACGAATTCATTGCTAAACGAAACTAATTTTACGGATTTATCGCGTTTATTTTTAATTTTAATTCCCGACGTTTCGAACCCTTTACAGCATTCATGGTCACGGGACAGACTCATGTGACCATGTTCACAATTAGTTTCATTTATAATGTGTAATCGCGTAAATACAAGAATTCATTGCTACTAACCTTTAATAACACGCATTGTTGAATATTATAAGTCGTATTCTGAACTTCAACTCGTTTACATGCGCATAAGATTTAATTGAAATTAGATTTTTCACCTACCCCACAAAAATAAATCTAAAGGGGTGAGATCTGGTGATCCCCCAGGCCATCTAATTGTGCCGTTTATACCAATGCAGGTATTAAAATGGTTATTAATGTAGGCAGTAGTGATTCTGCTGTTATGGGCTCGAGTACAATTATTTGGTTTAGCTCTTGCTCGGGGAAATTATTTAACTCATTTTTTAAGAGATCCTGTATTTCAAGATACTTGACAGGTTTCACTCGAGACCAAAAGTGGTAATTGCAGTGACATGCCGTTATTGCTGAATGATATGATTTTATAGACGACGGACATATTAACAGAGCACATGCAGAATTTGATTCTAAATCTGAATCTGGTACGGAATTGTGACCTCATATTTTTTTTCTAAGATTATTTTTAATTTTTTCAAACATTATGGACAACCTATTAGAAATTCCTACCTTCCTCAATATAATAATAACCTGCTGATGAATAAATAGCTGATCTCACTGTGCCGTTGCTGTTCTTTGTTTGAATTGTTGCTGTCTGTTAGGTCACTACTCTTAACGGGATATTATTTCTTGTCAAAATAAAATATTAATATATTTTTTTTAATTATGGAATGCTCAAATAATATTATGTCAAAGTATGTACTTCGTCTTAAAAAACATCCTGTATGTTTTATAACAAAACAATTTATTTTTGGCAAAAATTCAAAAGTCATAATAAAAATTAATTTTTGAATCCAGTACCGAAGACACACCGACAGCTCCCGAACAAACCTGAGCGCCTGTGACTCCATAATGTTAGTTTTCACTCATTGCAGTTTAGAGAGATATAAGTACAGTGTTTTGATCAATTTAATTTTCTTGTCATTGCTTAATATTGAAAAGGTCGAACCTCAAAAGTTATCGTTCTTGTTTTGTACCATTTTAAACGAATACAACAAAAAAAAAAACTCCTGATTGATGTTTTGAATTAAACAACACGGCGATCGGTTCGAGACTGGTTTAATTATTATTACGAACATGTAGGTGTATGGTTACAGTTAGGTACACAGAAATAATTTAATCCACCCGCAACCACAATACATTACATTTCTCCCCTTAAATTTAAATTTAGAACTAATTGTACAAATAAAAATAAATATATGAGTGAAATGTTTACAATGAAAGTTATCTTATTCCGTTTACACTAAGAAATCAGCTTACTGAGTACTACATACTGGTATAATAGTAAATAATTCAAATAAATTTAAACACAAGCAATAATACTCTTCAAAGCAACTCCGGATTATACAAACTTAAACAACGCAATATACGTATTTCTCCCTATGCAGAATAGGATACTTTGTAATTAAGTTTACAAAAGTAAAGAGAGAAAAATAAAAAAAAAACATTAAATAAAAATCTGTGCACTAGCGAAGAGGTCGCCTCACAAGTAAATAATATAGGTATATACGTAACCATAGGAGATTCCAAGCCGCGCTTTAAAGATTCAGTTAAAACTTTATTTAGATTTGTTCAGGAAATGAAATCTATACTATATAAACGAGTAGAATCAGCGTGTCTGTACATTGAATATATTTATGAAAAAATGAAATAGGGTATCTTAAAAAGAGTTATAAGAAACATAATGACCATTTTTAGAATTTTTGTCTGTCTGTATGTCTGCCCGTCTGTGTGTCTGTCTGTTCGCGATAAACTTTAAAACTACTTATCGGATTTTGAAGCAATTTTCACTGGTTACTTAAGCGAAGCTTGGGGCAACATCTAGGCTTTGTTTCATCTCAATCAGTTCACTCAAACGGGAGGTATGGGAGTTTTAAGATTAAAGCAGTGCAGTCACAAACAGTTATCACAGTTATCCTACTACTGGACTAATTTGTATGGCGTTTTTAAAAGTATTCAAGATTAATTCTGAGCAACATTAAAGCTTTGTCTTATTGCAAATGGTTCACAAAAAAAAGTTATGCGAATACTCACAAACCATAGGATCGATTTTAACGGGGTTTTTGACAGGTTTACAGTCCAACTTTCTCGTAATATTTAAGTATCGTTTGATCGTAATCTTATCCTTTAAACGAGCAATTCTTGTATATCTATACTATAATAAAAGAATAGAATCGGCGTACCTGCACATTGAATATATTTATAAAAAATAAAAAGTGTTATAGGAAACATAAAAACCATTTTTGAAATTTTCGTCTGTCTGTATGTATGTCTGTCTGTCTGTCTGTCTGTCTGTCAGCGATAAACTTGAAAGCTACTTATCGGATTTTGATGCAGTTTTCACTAGCTACTTAAGCAAAGCTTGGGGCAGTATCTAAGCTTTGTTTCATCTCAAGAATCCTGCATAGGTAAGTTACGATAAGAAGATAAGAACATAGTTCCCGTGAAAACTAGATGGCGTTGTTAAAGTCCTAAAAAGCGCCGACCATTTGCATTTTAATAATAATAATGCGAATTTCTTCGATTGAGATATATACGATAGGTTCGATTTTAGTTCTGCTCGGTATACGGATGCTCTTGATTTTGCTTTGCGATTTGGTTAGTTGTTAAACCGTGAGTTAGCTCATTCTCTGGGCGCTCCCTTTTAATTCAATATACTCGAGTAACCTGAGCAATCTATAACATCGGAGCCCGGAATACACTCAGTGACCTTTTTAAAGAGATTAATATACTCACTGTTGCGTCTCAATATATTTATTGTAATATTTTGTATGTTAAAAAATAATATTAATAGTTATCTAAAGAATAGTGACAGACATAAACTAAATACTAGAAATAAGGAAAAACTAACTACGCCATTGTTTCGTTTACAAAAAGTAAACAGGTCGTTCATGGGGCAAGGTGTGCGCATGTATAATAAAATCCCTCAGTCGATATTAAGTCTGCCACTTGATGAATTTAAACGAAAAATTAAAAGTAAACTTATGGCTAAAGCCTATTATTCTATTGCTGAATATCTTGACGACGCCAATGTGTGGGGTTAATACTGTTGATACTCACGTAGGCTAAAACAAGACTATTGTACATGTACTATTATATTGTAAACTGACTTTTTTTAAAAAGAGCAACTGTTGAGTTTCTTGCCGGTTTCTTCTCAACAGAAACTGCCTTCCGAACCGGTGGTAACTTACGAACGTGTTAATTTCTTGTAAAATTTTGACGCTTCATAAGAACGCGTAAGCGTCTATGTGAATAAAGATATTTTATTATTATTATTATTATTATTCGATCCCCGGTGCCGGCACCAATGAAATTTTTAATTTTAAGTGCTGATTTATCATGTGCTCAAAAGTCAAGGAAAACATCGTGAGGAAACCTGCATGTTTTCGAAATAATAAGGAAAAAAAAATTGAAAATATGTGAAGCACGCCAATCTGCAGTGGGGCCGCATGGTGGACTATGCCCTGATACCCTCTGTAATGAGGATGTCTCGCCTTGCAGTAGTCATTTAAAGGCTGTTACTTTATTTTTTACGTTTTAAATGTTAATAACAGTGATGGTTTTCTCCATAGGCGTACTTTGGCGGGCCAAATGTGGGTTACAGCCATTAGTGGGGATTTTTTAGTAGCGTTGCTCGCCTTTCGCTTCTGGCTTCTTTGCGTTGGCGATATTCCATAAAAATTATAACAAATCAAGCAGGCCTGGTAAGTAAGGTACCATTCGTCGCACGTAATGGCCACAGGAAAAACGAACGTTTCCAAAACAGAGTTGTCCTAAGGTCGATTACAAAAAGTTCTTTTACTACTACTAGTCTAAGTTCACTTTATTGGCATAACAAATTTTACTAGAAAACATGGCTAATCTCAACAATGTTGATCAACTGCATAAGGAGCTTGAAATTGGCTGGATGGCTAAGATGACTGAGTTTGAAAATCGTCTAAAAGATGCTTTAGTCCCTGCATCAACAAGCAACAATCCAACTCTACAACAGCTCAATCAGGACTTTTGTGCATTTAAAGAGTCGGTAAGTAACATGCTTGGTCTTCTGCAGCAACAAGTAAGAAGTTGCTCTTATGCACTTGATGAAATGGAAACAAGGCATCGACAAAAGATTTTGTTGCTTAATGGCATATCCGAGGATCCCAATTCAAATGTTGAGCAGCAAGTCTTGGACATATTTCACAATAAACTTGGCCTTACCAACATGATTAGATCATCAATAAAGCGATGTCATAGGTTGGGACCACTTGATAGAGACCGGTGCAGAGCTGTTTTAGTTCACTTCTGCGATTACAGTGTCAAAAGACAAGTTTGGAAGTCCAAGTCAAAGTTAGAGAATACACCCTTTACTATGTCTGAGTTTCTTACTAGAATGCGTCAGAGCATTCATAAGATGGCTCGTAAGCATTTTGGAATGAGAAATGTTTGGACTCTGGATGGAAGAATTTATATTAAGCTCCCTGATGGTAGTCGTAAGAAGATTTCCACAGAAGAAGACTTTAGTGCTCTTGTTACTGCATGGACTCCTGTGCTAGTGGTTCACAGCAGTGAGATGTGCCTTCCATCAGGAGCTCACCTAAAGCCAGTCGCCAGCAAGAAGTGGAGAGGCGTAAACAAGAAGCATCCGCCTTGACTTATGGTGATAACAAGAAAACTTGTCGTGTTGTCTCCAAAAAGTAATCTGTGGCAGCTGAAGTTTCTCTTTTCTTGGTATAATTTCTTCACATTTGTAAATATTGCTTCCCAACATAATATATAGTTAACATCTTCTCTAATATTAACTTTTACAACAATGTCCATTTTTTTAGGTTATCTGTTTTTAGTCACTGTTAACAACTTAATTGAAAACATTATATATTGTCTTTTAGCACTATTACTCATAATAAGCATTCAAGTATATTTGTCTAAATATCTCATTGTAATATTTTCACTTTGTTAGTCTTTCCTTTTGTTTATATCTATTAACTGACAATGACAAAACAAACAACTATTGTTGTATTTTTCTTTATTTCTTTTATTAGTAGGCAACGGTCCTACAGCCCTGTAGTCCCGGGCTTATAGAATAGGGCTAAGGTATCCCCTGCCTGTCGTAAAAGGCGCCTAAAAGGGGACACGGACGGGTAGCAGCACGAAGTGGTCTCGTGTTGCTGTAAGAGGATGAGGGGATTGGAGAAGGTTTATCCTTCTCCAATCCCCTCGTGCTCAGGCGTAGTACCGAGGGACACCGGTGCATTCCATGGGAGATCCCGGAGTCCCTCCAAATGTACAGAAGGTGGCCACCGAGGGGGTTTTAGTGGGTAAGAACCCCACATAACCCTGTCATGTAAAGTGACAGGGTTATCTTTTGCAGATTTCCCCCTCGACACCAAAATAAAAAAATAAAAAAAAAAGGCAACGGTCCTAACCCCGTGTTTCCTGTGTCATTTTGTTTTTATTAATTAGTTAAAATTGTACTCAATATCTCACTCTACTATCTTCAAAATTGGCTGAATGATAATGGGTTATCTATATCAATTCCCAAAAGTACTATTGTTATTTATTCTCAACGTAGAATTATTCCTTCGGTTAATATAACTCTTGATAATCAAAGAATCCCAGTGAAAAGTGAAGCAAAATTTTTGGGATTGATACTTGATTCTAAATTGTCTGGAATTAGTAATTTACAATATGTCACCAAAAAATGTGAAAATTAATATCCTTAGAACCCTCTCAGGAGTTTGGTGGGGTTCTCATCCATATTCACAAAAATTTGTATACAATGCTCTCGTTAGAAGTCATATGGATTATGCCTCCTTTCTCTTAGAACCTTGTAATAAAGCAGCTCTCAATTCATTAGATAAAATCCAAACAAAATGTCTCCGAATAATTGTTGGAGCTATGAAGTCATCCCATAGGAATGCTCTTCAAGTGGAATGTGTGGATCCACCCCTGCATTTAAGAAGGCAATATTTGTCAGATAGATTCATGTACAAGGCATTGCAAAATTATAATCACCCTCTCATTGCCAAACTCCATTTACTTTCTGAATATATATCAACAGAAGGCTATTGGACTAAAAAAAATTCTCCTTGTCTATTTAATAGTTTTTTCAATTTTCTGCAATTACCCTGTCCTATATACCAATGCAAAATGAATCCTTTATATGATATCCCTTATGAAGCGCTGGTATATCAGCCTAGTGTTTTGCTTGATATTGGAATTGAGAAAAATTCTATATTGGCTCCATTACACTTGAAATTAGCTCTTGATAAGTTTTGGAAAGATTGGCATATAACGTACACAGATGCTTCCAAAATGTCTCAGTTGGGGTGTGTTGGTACTGCGGTACGGTTTCCCAAGTATAAAATAATACTTAATTTTAAATGCCCCCCCTATAGCTCAGTTTTTACAGGTGAGGCTACAGCTATTCTTGAGGCTATCCTATTCGCAGAATCTCATGACTTAAATAAAACTATCATTTTCACAGATTCTAAAAGATGTTTGCAAGCCATTTTAGCTAATCTCTTCCGTTACAAACTTAATTTCCCCTTAATTTACAAGATTAGAGCCGCTCTTTACATGTGCCATATGAAAGGAATATTGATTTCTCTTGCTTGGATTCCTGGGCACAGTGATATTCAAGGAAATGAAATTGCTGACCATTGTGCCAAGGAAGCAATTAAAACTGGCTCCCTATCCCAATATACTTGTTTCTCTCATGATCTATTATCATATGCTAAAATCAGATCAAACTGTGTTTGGTATGAGCTCTGGAAGAAATCTAGTAGAGAGAGAGGGAAACACTATGCATCAATCCAACCTGATATTCCATCCAAACCGTGGTTCTTTAATTTTCCTAAAGCTAATAAGCATGCCACCTCTATTGTCTGCAGACTTAGACTAGGGCATGTCTGCACTAATGTTCATCTTGCCAAATTAAGAATAAAAGATAGTTCCATCTGTGAATGTGGCCTAGATGAAAATATATGATCAGGTGAATCACCTGATCATATATTTTTCAACTGTCCCAGAATTCCAGGTTCCTTCCATGATCATCTTCCTTCTAACATCCCTCGTCCATCTAACATTAATAACCTTTTAACATATGTAAATTCTTCATTTGCTTATATCTTATGTAATTTTATTAATAGTTGTAATATTAAGTTGTGAACTTAGCATAATAATTACAATCTTATTTTGTTTGTTCTAGGTAATTGCTATAATTATGTAAATTTGTTTAGATATTCTATATATAAAAATATACATCTTTAACATTCATAATATCAACCTCTTCATCATTTCATTATAAAAGTTATGCAAAAATAAACAACCAGAAGTTTTCATTGGCGTATTCATTGAAAACCGCCAAAAAAGAAAAGAAGAAGAAGAAGATTGTATTGTGTTTTTCAACTTCATAGACTAAACGTTTTTATTGACTTATTATCTGTTTTTAGCATATTCTGTTTGATTTGTAATATGTATAATTTTCTAATTTAACGGTTGATTTTGACTTAACTTATTAGTATATTTATGCATTTTTTTCTCTCATGTGTTTTATGATGTTGTAAACTGTCAACTGGTGGGATGGTGCATAGTAGGTAAAATAATAATTGTTATTGTTTTTACTCTGCTTCACATAGATTATAAGAGAGTGTTCTCTGGTTTTAATTTTTTAATTTATTCTTTTTTATATTTATATATAGTATATTTTATTAACTCTTATTTATTTAAACTATCATTATTTATTCATATTTTTTAAGTTATGTCGGATAATGATTCTTTTTATACTGCGGATGATTTAGATTCCTCGTTTGCTTCTTGTGATCTTTTGAATGAAAGCTTGCTTTCTTTACGTGATAGGCTTACGTGTACTTTCGCGTCTAGACGTAATTGTTTAACGTATGCCATATCAATGCGTAAAGTATACCAAGCCATTTTTCAGACTTTGAAGATGCATTTTCTTCTAGCAACATCCATGCGATTCTAGTATACGAGAGCTGGCTTAAACCTCCCTTGATGTCCAGTTTATATCCTCTTTCTGACTTTGTACTTATTCGGAATGACCGGACTGAGAAGGGGGGGGTGGGGTTGCTATATACTGGAGGGCTAATATCTCTTATAAGTTTGTCCTAGCATCTCCATCTGCCTATTCAGCTTCCGTCGAATTTTTATTTCTTGAAATTTGCGTTTCGGGTATTAGGGCGATTGTAGGGGTAGTGTACTGTCCTCCTACTGTTGATTATTTTAGCGGTCTTGAAGCTGCTCTTGATTTAGTTTGCTCCCGGTACACGCACTGCATGATAATGGGTGATTTTAACACTGATTTGTTAAGAAATACGTCTCGTTCTCAAAAACTTCGCACAATTATTGAGTCAGTCAGTTAATTATTCTGCCTTTAGCGGCTACTCATCATAATGTTCACACTGATGACTCGTGGATTGACCTCATTATTACAGCTTCCCCCGACCGAGTTATAAGGCACGGTCAGCTTTCTGCTCCTAGCTTTTCCCTACATGATTTAATTTACTTTTCCTACAAACTTATCCCTCCTAAACCTATTCCCACTTTCTTAAAATTGCATAATTTTACTAGAATTCAATTGGACAAACTCAGGAGTGACGCATCGCTCATAGATTTTGCCTCTTTTGCAGCAGCGCCTACTGTTGATGATAAAGTGTGGCAACTAAACAATATTGTACTAACTTTGTTTAATGTACATGCACCTGCACATCTTGTAAGAGTAAAGCGTCCTCCTGCCCAGTGGATGACTAGAGGTGTTAGGGCGGCAATGGCGAGACGGGATCGAGCTTTTGGAAAATTTAAACGGGAACGTACAGAAGAGAACTGGGTTCATTTCAAACTGCTTAGAAACAGATGCAATCATATGGTACGAAACGCTAAACGCCATTATATCCATGAAAATATTAGTAATGCGTCTACCGCTGATGTGTGGAAATTTCTCAAGTCTCTTGGGATTACCAAACCTTGTCCATCAGACCATGCCTCTTCATTAACCTTGAATGACATAAACCAACATTTTATCTCTACACCATCTATAGACCCCACAATACGCTCTCAAACAATCACTTTATTGGTCAATTGCCACTTCTTCAAATTCCAGACTTTCAGTTCACACCGGTAAATCTCAATGAAGTTAAAAAGACTATATTAGCAATCAAATCCAAAGCTGTGGGAGGTGACGAGGTTAGTAAGCAAATGATAACAATGATTGGACTCTGGTCATTACCCAACCCAGTGGAAAAGGGCTTTTGTCCTGCCACTTCTCAAAATCCCAAATCCCTCTTTACCTAACCATTTTCGTCCGATTTCTATTTTTCCATTTCTTTCTAAAGTTCTTGAGGCCTGTGTTCATAAGCAAATCTCCGTATTTATTAACAAACATAACCTATTGAATGCTTATCAATCTGGTTTTCGTCCGGGCCACAGTACTACCACTGCACTTATCAAGGTCACTGATGACATAAGAAAAGGTATGGATGATCAAAAGGTCACAGTGGTGGTGCTTGTGGACTTTTCTAACGCTTTTAACGCAGTTGATCACGACATCTTTAGATCCTATCTTACTTACCTTAGATTTTCGACCCCAGGTTGGATTGGTTTTCCTCTTATCTTCGCGGTCACCAACAGTTA